ATTTTCTTAAGTTTTTAAATTTTTTTTAAAGGGACCCACTTACATGAGATAAATATTGAAAGGGTATAATTGGAATTTAAGGAAAAACTTAGGGGCTCACATATGCAAGTGTTGTATTTTGGAAGTTGGGTTTAAAGAAAAATATAAAAAGACAATTGGGTTTAAAGATACAAGCAATAGTGTTTGGATTTATAGGTAAAGTTGAGTAAACAAATGTGGCTAGAAATAAAAACACCTACATTATAACATAGGTTGACCGTTTGTGACCACTTGTCTTAGGGTTAATTTCAAAAAAAAAACCTGATTAATTTTGATTTTTGAGGGTGTTGTAGAAAACCTTCCTGAACTACCTTAATTTGAGAAAAACGCCTAAACTTTGGGGGTTTTTTGAAGATGATTTCCTTGAACGATGTTTTATTCTGCTAACCCCTATGAACTTTGTGGCATCTCACGCAACCCCCATAAAACTTTCAACATTTTGCAATGGACCCCCTACATGTAATTAGAAAATAACTTAAAAGTTTTTTGGAGGAAAAAAATTTTAATTTAATTATTTATCACTTACAGACGACAGACTATCACGCCACCGAACTGGGAATTTTTTTCAAAGTATTTTAGTTATTTGCTGTTTATAGATAGGGGTCTTGTGAGAATGAAAGTTTAAGGGGGTTGTAAATAAGTTAAGTTAAAAATAAGTAAATAAGTAAGTTTTAGCAAATGTGATCTTGGATAGGAGTGTGCAACGGTCGGTTCGGTTCGGTTTTTACCAAAATTTGAACAACCGAACCGAACCGCCTATAATTCTCGGTTCGGTTCGGTTTTTACCAAAATTTGAACAACCGAACCGAACCGCCTATAATTCAAAATCGAACCAAACTGTTGCAAGTCGGTTCGGTGCGGTTCGGTGCGGTTTGTTCGGTTCTAACTTCATCAAACTTCTTATCAAACAACAAACTGTGTTAAAGAAAAAAAAGATATCAACAAAGTAGGAGATTATGAAGTATAAAAACTAATATAATAATATTTTTTTAACCCATAATGATTCAAAAAATGAGTTTAGGGTTTGAGTCTTTGACTATCTGGGGACGGGTCGGGTAGGGTTTGAGATCAGAATGTGTATTATTGTACTATATTCGGTCAGTTCGGGTTGAAAAGTTTTCAAATCGACTCGAACCGCCCTACTCATAAAACCGATTTTTCCGGGTCGGTTCGGGTCGGTTCGGTCGGTTTTTTCGGTTTGGACCGAACCATGCTCAGCCCTAATCTTGGATACTTAATAAGTAAAAAGCTACTTCTAAGTTAACATAGATAGGTCGCAAAAGAAGCTCTTAAGTAGGTACAAGTTGGTAGTAAAAGTCCCTAAAGTCTCTTCACTATCACTACACCCGAACTCCAAAATTATGATGAGAGATGAGAGTTATAGTTTTTATATCCTAATAATATCCCCGCAGGTTGAGGTCTCTTATATGGGCTGAATTCTGGACTCAAGCAGTAGTATCAATTTATTTTTCCAAATACACGTTAAATTTGTCTTAATACTATCTTAAATTGCCTAGCATGATGCCAAAATTTCTAAGTTATGATTAAGATTGAGAATTATCATATTTATATTCTCATAAAGGTCTAGTTCCCTCCTGGGTTTTCTTGATAAACCCTAAATGATATAGTGGTTAAGTCATTTATCAAGTTTAGACGTTAATCACAAAATAGAGAAATCTCTAGGGGGCTCTCTGAGAAGTAACCTTTAAATTTTCACCTACGGTTTCCACATTTTATTAAGGCTAAATATCAGGTAAATCCCGTTAGCCTTGGACGACTATCTGATATCCCC